AAAAAAAAAAACACACACACAGACCAAATAGAAAAAGAAAGGAACTGAATAAGGAACATCGATGAGCTGAGAGCTCGAGAGGGTCTCAAGGAGATGCCAGTTGATTTCGTTCAATGTTCAGTATATACTCTCTGAAAATCTTCCAACGGTGTTTGCTGACTTTTGAAAATTGAAATGTTCTCTTATTACTACTTCAAGCATCAAGAGAAATAGGTTTCTAGACTGAGGTGATCTTTATAACTAGTTTCTTCCAATTTTTCAGAATTCTTCTTTCTACCAAAACTCCAATGTGTTGCACAAAGTTAAACAACTCGCAGATCAAAAGGATGTTGAAGCCCTTAAAGAGCTCTCAGTTACAGAGGTATGCTGGATCTTTCACCGTCTGTTGCACAATTTGCAGTTTTCTATGTTTACATTGACAATCAACTTTTTTTCTTTTCACTAGGTCGATAAGTTCATGTCTTTCTGGTGTGGTAAAAAGCCTTTTAGGGATGACTATGAGAGGAGACTCTTGCAGTCACTTGATATCAGGCAGTTGAGCAGGGATGGCAGAATGAGGAATCCCGACGAAAAGCCTCTGGTGCTACCAGAAGTACCTACTGTCTCCCGAACCGAGGTTCCAGCAAGAGCTAATGCAAAACCTGTAAAGGAAGATCATGCGTCCGTTGACGCTGCTCCTGTTCAGAAAGAACAGAAGGAGAAGAGTAGCAAGCAGCCAAATGATTCTCATGTTAAAAACACAAAGCGTGCCGAGAAAAAAGATGTGGTTGTTGATGAAGAAGAGGAAATTTATGGTTTGGAAAAGATACCCAAGGATATTAGTTCCAAGAAAAATGAAGTTGACGAGGCAACTTTGAAGGAGATGAAGAAAGAGGAGGAGATAGCAAAAAATAGACAGGCTATGGAGAGGAAGAAAAAGTTGGCAGAGAAAGCAGCTGCAAAAGCTTCAAAGAAAGCTCAGCTAGAAGCTGAAAAGAAGCTCAAGGAAATTATTCCTCTGACCCTTATAATCCTACCATTTCTATGTGGTTTTATTATGTTGTAAACATTCAGATTAGCCATGGACTTACCTAGTTACTTTCAACTCCTTTCAGGAACGTGAGAAGAGAGCGAGGAAGAAGGGCGGATCTTCTGTCGCAGATCAGGAACCAACTGAGGAACCGACCGAAACACCTGCGGAGGTTGCTGAGGAAGAAAAAGCGGACGAAAATGTTGAAATTGTTGCACCCAAGGTCAAGGCGCGGAAAGAGAATACCGTTAGGCATAGAGCAACACGTGCAAGAGGCTCAGAGCTTCCTAAAGCTATACTAAAGCGCAAAAAAGCAACGAACTATTGGCTGCGGGCGGGTGCTCCTGCTGCTGTGGTAGTTGTGATACTTCTAGTTGTCGGATACATATATCTTCAAAAGTAAAATGAGTTGGGAGAGTGAAAACAAAAACATTTGGCTTTAGTGCTTTACAATACTGCAATAGTAAGTCCTGTTTAGTTTATCATAACGTTATTTCATGTTTCTTGCATCCTAGTCTAGGATGGAAAACTCATAATGTTCCTTGAGACGCGGCCTATCTGAGATATTAGCTGAGAGAGCCTACATATTTTATTTGTTTGGTGTAGTTGCAGTTGTTGACATTTTGCTTAAAGACTGTCATCTGGACCTTTTCCTTTGGAGACATTGATTTTTTTATTATCTTCCTACTTATTTTTTCGTTGAGAACACCATTGACATTTACAGTGATTTATATTATATATGTCAAAGTTGTGCAACAACAAGCCAGTGGAATTTCACAAGTGGGCTTTGGGGAGGTAATGTAATGTGTACGCAGTCTTATCTCCCTACGTTGAAAAGGTAAATAAGCTGTTTTCGATAGACTCGTGGCTCAAGGAAAGGTAAAAACAAGCAGTAACAAGTAGAGTAAGAAACGACATATATGTCAAGTTGTACGTGGTGACATTTTGATATGTTAGACATCTGTCCCACTACTCCATGCCAGAATTGAAAAGATGCTCATTTTGAGCATTATTTCGTTCGATGGGACAGTGGTAAGTTCTATTTGACTATTAACTATTTCCATTGCGGAGAGCAGCAAATTTGGTCCCAAGGTTGATGTTGAGTGGGATTTGATATAAACATGTTCTTTTATATAGGAAACTGATTTTTTCCGTTTGTTCTTTGGGTAATGAAATAGGACTTTGACTTTTATTAGGTGGTATGCAGTTTATTCTTTTTATTAGTTACTAGTCCTAAGGTTTGCGCGTGTTTCCATACTAACGAGGAAATAATTTTTAGATAAATATGTTAATGGTATTAAACGATGTATTTGAGTTATAAAATAAAATAAAATAAAATTATCACTTTGTAAATATGTTTATAAATTTCATTTAGCTAGCTCAAAAAAAGATAAAATTCAGGCAATGGAAGTTCTCAGACTTTTATAGCAATATCCTATGAAAATTATTGTTATTTTGTGCTCTAATACGATAACGAATAAATAAAAAAAGTATACGTTTATCATGATGATTTGTCAAATAATACAACTTGAAAAATTAATTTTTTTGGCCTTTATAGATACAAGAATGAAGAAGTTGACCTATAGCTCCTACAAAAAGTTAGAAGTGAAATATAAGCTATAAAATCGACTAATGTTGAGTTAATATTTTACAAAAATTGACCTTTTTAAAATTTTCATAGTACGCATGATTTTTAGATTGGATTAAAAGTTATAGATGGACTACACTTTAATGACAAAAATATATTTTCAAGAAAATAAGTATATAATTTTTGACTTTTGTATTTTTTTTCTCTGGAAATCTGAGGAAAGATCAAAAGGTTAAGCATGTGGCTATAGAGAGTCAATGTATTTAGTTCTTCAAGTGGAGAATCGTAAGCTCTTTTTCTTTTGTTCATGTTCTGTCTCTGGTGAATTTTGTGTACATGAGTTGATTTGATACAGTTTTCCAAAATTTATTGAATTCTTGGTAATTTTAAGTAAATGAGTGATTTTTAATTGCTACAATATAGTGTGTGGTATCTATAATTTTATGATTTCAAATTCTTAGATACCATTTTAAGTTATAAACGAATTGTTTGATTCATATAAGGTAAGTTTTTAATCGACGTTAAAATCTTAAATATTAGTATTTCTTACCTAGCTCACTAAAAAAAGATTTAATTCTCAAAAATAATAGTTAATTTTAAAGTCCTTAATATTAGAAATTAACTTAAATTACATTTGTCCAATGTAAAATCTATTTTTAAAAGATAAAAAAAAAATATTTGGAGCACAAGTTATATGTGTTTGTGCTATAAAGACTTTATCCGTAAAAATTCTGGAAAAACAAATTGAGACAGAAAAATCTGACTTTTGTTCGTTTGGTTTATAAATTTAAAAATCCGACACAGTTGGTTTGATTTGGTAATTGAAAAATTCGAACCAATCCGACATGCGTACATTACTATTAATTATAGTTTAGGTATATTACACATCATTAATTTATGTTTCAATTTTTTTTTGTTTTTTAAACATCAAATTTAGTTAATACTCTTACATAAATAAAATGAAAGGAGTATATACCAACTACGAATTTACTCTATCATTTTCTCCTTTTCAACTGTTTCTTTTTCTGTGCTTTGCGTAGGTTAATTTCTTCTTGCGATAGCTATATTTCCCTTTTAATTTACATTAACATTCAAGTTAAAAAAAATAAAAATAAAAATTATAAATCAGCTTGACAGAAATGTAGCTAGTTACAAGGACTTATCAGTTATCAACATATATTTATTGAGCTAAGTGGCCTTTAATCAAAATGTATGTATAAGATGGGGTGGATATACATGAATTATACAAGTATCTAGCATAGAGGGAAAACGAATACACACATGCGTATCTTAAGGCAGAAACCCCAAGGATCTGGCATATATTATTCGAAAGCACTCATAGAAAATAAGTTGTAGTTATTTTTCTCAATTCAAATAAGTAAAGAATTGAATAAATAATACTCTATCTCTTTAAATTGCTAAATATTAGATGTTCATACACAGTGCAAATAAGGAAAAGTTTAATGGTCAAAATTTTAGTTAATTTTAAAGTCTTAAACATCAGAAAAATAATTAAATGACTGTTCCTAAATATAGAAAAATAAATATTAAAAAATAATCAATGATTATTTTGTCGAGTGTGAACTCTATTTTAAAGGGATAAAAAAGACGAACGACATTTCGCTAAGGGTCTTCGTGTTTTTAATACAGTATGTTTAAAACATCATTCTGGTCCTTTGATCATTTAGGAGTAAAGATAAGCGTTATAAACTCCTGAAACATACAGCAAACTTTTTAGTTCGGATTAATAGAGTCGAATAATTCTTCCTAATGGAGTGACTTGTCGAACGATATTAATTGTATGCTCTCAAAATTTTGTTGAATGACTAGAAATGACAAAGGAAAAAGAAAAAGAAGTACTATGTTATATGTTATATTGCTGTCAATCCGTGGTCTTTTCTTCTCTTGTCGAAAGAAAAAAGGACAAGTTCTTTCATGTATTTTGTTTCATGAAACTTGAAATTGGACTTGCTAATTAATTTTCTGTGTCCCATCAAAGTGTTGTTGAAGCCTGGAGAAGAGAGTTCAAATATTCATAAAGATGTTCGAATTCTTCCATTCTCTTTTTAAATAAGTAAAATTCTGTAACTATAGAAGCTATATTAAGGTTGAAGGGATTTACAAATCACAAAAGAGGGGTTTGTTCCTCTACTTTCTGGAAATTCTAAAGGCAAAAAGAAAGGAAAAATTGAGAAAAAGGAGGTTCTAGATCTATAATTCTATGAAGCAAAAAGATAAGCAACTTTAACTATGCCCTTTTTGAGCTGATTCCTCTCCTACTTATATCATTCAGTGCAGGGTTGTCCCTTGTCATCTTCTCTAACGGTTTGGCAGAGATTGATTATTTTGGGATCTAGGACCACATAGTGGTCGAGGTATTTAGGTGGGCCTTTCTCTCTGTTGCTGCGCCTAGGACCTTGTGGTGTGTCCTGCTGAGTTGTTACACTGCCACCCCCTTGGAGACGAACCTTGTCCTCAAGGTTCTGATTGGGAAACTTGTGAAGGAGATTGGTAGTGTCTTCCCATGTAGCATCTGAAACTCGAAGACCTAACCATTTAATAAGACATTGATGGATTTGTTGGCCACTGCGAGAAATATTTCTGCAGCGTAACACATCTTCTGGTAGAAGAACCAGGGAAGAGGATTAGTCCAAAAGATCAATTGGGGTGATCTGGTTTGAGGGATTGCCTAAGCACTTGCGCAGGACTGAAACGTGAAACACAGGGTGAATTTTGGATGAAGGAGGCAATGCTAATTGATAGGCTACAAGACTTATCTTCTGCACAACTTGGAAGGGTCCAAAGAAGCGTCTCCTGAGTTTAATATGGCGTTGGAGGCGAACTAAAAGTTGACGATATGGACGAAGACGGACGTACACCTAATCCCCTATATCAAAAACCATTTCTCGGCAGCCCTTATCTGCATTGTGTTTCATACGTTCTTGGGCCCGAAGTAAATTAGCCTTCAAGGTAGCCAATACTTCATCTCGTTGTAGCAGAGAGACATCCACAACAGGATTGGTCAAACTATCTCGGACATACCTCGAAACAGTTGGTGGAGGTCGACCATACACTACCTCAAATGGAGTAAGTTTAGAACTATGCTGGTATGAGGTGTTATACCAAAATTCAGCTCATGGTAACAACGAAAACCAAGTAGATGGAGTGTCTAAGCAAAGCAACAAAGATACATTTCGAGGCACTTATTGAGAGCCTCCGTTTGACCATCCGACTAAGGATGGTATGCTGAACTCATAGCTAATTGAGTCCCTTGCAGCCTGTGAAGCTCATTCCAAAATTCAGAGAGGAAGAGAGGGTCTCGATCTGACACAATTGTGAGTGGAAAGCCATGTAGACGAATGAATTCATGGATAAACACTTCGGCAACCTTCTGACTGGTGAAATGGGAAGGCAGGCCTACAAAATGGCCATATTTGGAGAGACGTTCCACGATAACCAAAATAACAGTGCACCCTTGAGAGGATGGAAGACCAATTATAAAATCCATCGAAATGTCCTAAAAAATGACATATGGTATTGGTAAGGGAGACAATAACCCAGCAGGCTTTAAAGTCGAGTCTTTCATTTGTTGACAAGTTTGACATTCACTGACAAATTTCTGGCCATCAAGCCGCATGTTATCCCAGAAAATATTAGAGGAATGGCGATGAAATGTGCGGGAAATTCCAGTGTGACCACCCATTTTCGAAGAATGGAACTCCTTCAATAACAAAGAACGCAAATGTTCATTTTTTGGAACCACCAGTCGATTGCGAAACAATAGAAGGCCCTCTTGAAAAGCGAAATAAGGTAGTGAGGCCGGATCTTCTGCCAATTGCTGCTGCAAGGACAACATGCCAGCATCAATTTTGTTGAAGGATCGTAGCTGATCGATTAGAGCCAATTCAGAAATGGCTAAGGATAAGGCAAGAAGGGCAGGCATGCGAGACAAAGCATCTGCAGCAGAATTTAGTTTTTTCGGACGGTAGTGGATGTCAAAATCATATCCAATGAGATTACTTAACCAACGTTGCTGCTCCAGAGTTTGAATCACTTGACTAGTCAATGATTTTAGAGGTTGCTGATCAGTG